CGAATGAAGACCAACAAGGAACATGTGACCTTAAATACAATTCTCTCGGAATTAATAGATAGAAAATTTGACGACATTGGCAGAACAAGTGATATATAACTTGGGTTTCAAATTTCAAAAGGAGGATAACAGAAAGGCCCTTTGTGAAAGAAGTTCTATCGTGCACAAAATAATTAACTTTCTAAGAAAATATTCTAAATTTAAAGAAGAAGGGGCGAATTTTATATATTTAGACGAAACATGGATATTTTCTAGGGGTGCAACCAATGGAATATGGCCAGATGATAATGTAAAGTCTATCAAACATACCAATGGAGAAGGGAAGCGACACATAATTTTACACGCAGGAGGGAAATCGGGTTTTATAGAAGGTGCTGATTTAATATGTTTATCTAAATCAAAATCCAGTGACTATCACGATAATATGAACACAGAAATGTTTGTAAAATGGTTGCATGAAAAATTTCTCCCAGGTTTAAGTGAGCCCAGCGTAATTATTTTAGACAATGCACCTTACCATTCTGAAGTGTTAAACAAAAGTCCAACGAATTCTTGGACTATTGATAAAATTAAAGAATGGTTGACAAAGGAACATATACCATTTCCTCAATATTGTCATCACATCCCTAATCCGACCCTGTGCCTGTGTACGCACGCGGCCTTCACATGGCAACCAATTCGTGATCGAAGCAACGCTGACGTGTGAAAACAGCCGGACTGCGTCTCGAATGTAAAAGAATACGACGGAATGTCTGCCGCTGAAGCACTGGAAGCGACTGGAATGGCGGAGAGTGCCGCTTAGTCATAAAAAGGAATGTTCGAGAGCCTCTCGTATTTTCCAGTAGCGGATTTGGACTAATATAAATAGCCGACGTATCAGCGCCGAGTTTAGTTTAATGTAGAACATTGTATTGAAAAGTTAAAGTGTAAGAAATAAATTAGAATTGTTAGTTAGTGTCTAAATATTACATAAATTAAATAGTACGTCTGAAATAAATTGTAAATAGTGTTTTTAAATAAATAAACTAAAAATAAATTAGACTTTCGTCGCAATATATTTTAAAATCAGAATTATTACGCTTGGAAAATATACACGCAAAACCAAAAACCTTTGTTGTGGATCAGATTATTGAAAGTTACGGTCATCAAGTTTTACGTCTGCCACCGTATCATTGCCAGTTTAATCCCATCGAATATATATGGGGAATAGCAAAACAATATTATGACAACCATATTGGGCCTAATGGTTATAGTGACGACGCAGTTCGGGAAACTTGGCGAAAAGCACTTTCAATTGCAACTCCAGAAGTGTGGCCGAACTGTATATCCAAATGCGAGAAACTAATAGAAGATTGGTGGACTCGTGAAAATAAAATAAACGAAATAAGTCCAATCATAATAACAATTAATGGTGATGACAATTATATTTTGGATGATAATAACTGATTTTCATTTTTGTTGGCAAATTTTTTATTTTTCATTTAAAATTCTCTACATGAAACAAATTTTTATGTTAAAAAGTATTTTATTTGAGCTAAATAACCCTCTTATTATATATAGACCATATTTTCTGTGTGAAGTGTAATATAAAATTATTATTAGGTTTATAATAGCCACATTAGACTCCATTAATGAAGAAGTTTAATTTTGCTCTCAATTATACAAAAGATTCTCCATTATTATTTAATTAAAAAGTTGTACATTGTATTTCATTTCATTTAACCAGTTGATATTTCCCCCAAAGAACAGGTCAAACTTTCGGGTACTTACCTGGAAATACTCATAAAAATTTTAATCCGAAGCCCGCGTAAGTATAGCGAACAGACTGTAAACATAAATTCATATGAAACTTACGTGAAACAAATAAAATATTCATAATTGAGGCACTTATAGTAATAGTGGTCTAACTTCACTTTTTTTCATATACCTGCCCTAAAATGAGTTGGATAATGTGTAGGTATCTTTCAGTATAAAGTTGGTCTAGGTCCATATTTTATTTTTCGACCAAAAGATAGCGGTACTCATTCCATAATAGTTTTTTAAAACAAAATGTTCCATGTAATAAATTTTGAAAATACTTCAACATCTGAAAACATTTCTATATGGAGATGAACCACTGTTATTCTGTGCGCCTCAATTATGGAGAGTATTAATATTATTAATTTAAAGATAAAAATAAGTTTAACTTATTAATAAATGACAAATTTAAAATAAGTACCTGAATACAACACCATGAGTGTATGATTTACAACCACTCTTTTGGTCCTTTTAACAATGTTGTCAAACTTACCTTAATTTTTTTGAGTGCACATTTTCCCATCGAATTCGGAGACAACTATACATACCAACAAAATTATATTATAATCCCCTGGGGTATCATAGGTAAAAAAAGAATAGATCCAGATACATTCTGTAAAATGAGAGTAACTTTGATAGATTTTTAGGCTAGTATCATTCAGACAGATCCCAATTTTAAGCTTCAACAAAATTTAATAGATTATAAATATTCAACGAACTTTCTTGCAACTGGCTGTTTAAAATCAAAAACTTTTTAGTTTATCAGATATAAAATTGAAATGGAAAAGTAATAAGCATATGAAAGTTTATAAATTGTTTTTATATTTAGGTACACACATACGGTAAAAAAATACACTATATTTGAGAGCATCGACTGTAAAACTGATGAATAATATTGATAAACAAATAGTTATTAATCTTGAAAACAACCAGTTGCATAGCATTCTTACCACCGGCCTTTCATAAAAAAAAAATACGACTAAAGCACTTTTAATCTGTTTTTCTCATATTTTATACAGGGTGATTCCTAAATTGATACTTTTTTTAAATGTATATAGAAGTTTTTAAAATAAATAAACAACTTTTTCAAAAAACTCAAATATAGCTTTAGCTAAATCTCGCCAATGTACTGGCGTTATATTTTAATAAAGTTGTTTTTTTTTGTCATCAGTATCAACTATAATGGACTATTATTATTACTAACGAAATGAGGTCGAAAAAAATAGGTAAACATAGACAAACTTATTAATTCGTTTAATTTTTCGTACACAAATTCAGGTCCAGTTTAAGATTTATTAATTCTTTCTCTTTTAGTTTTTTCAAATAAGGTATTTGAAAAAGATGTTTATTTTAACGACTTATACAAAGTTAAAAAAAACTTCAACTTAAGATTCACCCTGTATAAGATTAAAATACCAAATATTAAAATCGTTTAAAGTACAGAGGACACCTTTAATAAAAATAAAATATCTAAAATAGCTACAACATAAATAAAAGTATGCAGTTCTTTAAAATAAAATTCATATTGCTTATATAACAAAAGAAACGTTCTATTAGTACCTACTTAATCAACTTTATAACAAAAAAAATATAATGTTTGACATTAAATATACCTACTCTCTTTAGTAAGTATGGGAATCCCGCTACGTTGCCTGTAACTGCGCGGCAACGATGGGACCCTCTGAAGACCGCTACTACCACTAGATAGATTTTCCGTACTGCCTATATTCCAACCGGAAAAATTGCAGCACAACAAAATATAAATGGATAAATATTAACTCTAATTAGATACATATAAACAACACAAAATTCTATGTGATAAAATTTAACTCGGTTTGTAGTACAATATTTCGAATAATAAAACAATTTTAACTCGATACATTGTCCAAAATGTATAAGTTTATTCTAAAAAATACAGTATTAAATTGGATAAGAGTTAGTTGAAAATCATAATTATTTAGACACCCATTACCGTTAATTTTTTTTTTTTTTTTTTTTAATATTTCCATTGATATTTTAATATTATATACAAAGGAATTTTAAAATAACTAGTCAAAAAGACAACATAGCATGATTATCAATGATTTTTTGTTTTTTTAGTTCATCTGACAGTAATTTTTTTTTTATTTGAACTCGGGATGGCTCTAGAAATTTTACACATTTATTCACTCTTTATTAGGCATTCCAACGACCTGCCTGTTGTTGGCTTTGATATATATATATATATACAGGGTGGCCATTAAGTAATTGTAAATAAAAGTATGGCAGATTTCTCACTTTATATATTACGACTTGAACCAATTGCTTTAATAAAATGTTGCTAATAAGTAATATACAGGGTGTTAAAGGTTATATTTTGAGATTTATTTTTTCCAATAACTTTACTAATTTTTCTAAAGAAGAAACACTATTAGAATATTATAAACCAACAATAAACTTGGAGAAGAAAAATTTTTTTTGGGGATAATCTCAAAGGGATATCGACCGAAATCTTTCAGCCCCTATAAACTTAATTTATTGAAAATTTCATTTTCATCTTTCGTTTCGATAGTCCCATAAATTTAATAAATTACTATTATAGTTGAAAATTTGACTTCAGTTATTGCAGATTGCACTTCTGAAAGGTTAAAAATTAAGCGCCATTTTATTGCAAGTACCACACGTACCAACTTATCGGCTGTTTACTCTTACTATGATCAATTTTAGTTATTTTTTATTTTGTTAATCATTATTTTGATGTTGCCTAAATATACTATTTTTTAAACGAATTTACTAAATATTGAAATATATTAAAATTTACTTAGTTTTATCGGTGAACCAAGTTACTATTTTTTGACAAGATATAAATTTAAGTAGATCAATAATGTGTAAAAAAATAAATATAAATAATTATTAAACTAAATTATATATAGGTATATCAATCTTAATTGTTTTTGAGAACACACTGTTTTAGATGTGATTGACATTTTAAATGTCTTCTACTTCTGAGAAAATTCTTGATATACAGGTGATTAATGGGTTTTTAATTTGGACTAGGATCGGACTGGATTCATAGGGAAGAGGGTTATCCTTATATCAGTATCGGGATAATATAGTATAGTTCTTCTGGACGGAATAATTGAAATAATCCATAGAGTACATTTCTAAAGCTAAAAGGATTCAAGGAAATGTAAAATTATGTAACTCTGAAAATTCTTCTATACCTGTCGCGCTGGCCACCGCGGATCTACCATACGTCCTCGGCGTTTTAAATCCGCTGGCGATGTTGTTTTGTGATGAACTAGTCGACATTCCTTCGCCTTGTAAAGCTCTGCGGTAACTCGGGTCTAGTGATTGGAGAAGCTGTTCAGCTTGATCGGGAAAATGGTCTCTGAAACCTCGGAATGCCCTAAAAATAAATTATGTTTATATCTATGTCACATTCAAGGGTTGATAAGACCGGAGTTAGTTATTACTAAGTTCTATCATGAATTTGTGTACTTAATATTACAGTATTGACATGTCTATGTTGACCAAAGATCTGCCAATTGCAGGTCACCCCGCCCACCCGTTCAGTCCACCCGCCGACCAGAATTAGTGACCCTAGCCACAGCTAATACCAGTCACTCAGTAAAATAGGGAGTATTTTTTCTATGGTTGGGACAGTGACTTTAAAAGAAGCAATTATTTACAGGACCGTATTCAGTCCATTTAGACATAGCAGATTTTAAAATATATAGTTACAAATGTAACTGTATTAAAGATTATTAAATAAACTGATTATTTTTCTATTCCTTTACCCGTCAATGAATATTTAAAATTTGCAAAACAATGCATGTTTGCAACAAAATTTGTAGTCTTTTTTTTTATTATTTGCAACTCTTCCACTTACCTTCTTGAAATGACCCTAGCTTCTGGGTCGGCGTCCGCCACGCCAGTCTTAATCGCTTCTTGTAAAGTAGGAATGTGCCTCTCTAATGGATGTCTGGGCCATTGGGTTAAAATCATCTCCAAAAATTCACAGCATGCTCTTCTAATGTCCTTACTTTTTGACTTTATCGAATTGTTCGTAATAATTGGAATTAATCTAGTACTGTGTGTATATTGAATGAGGAACCTTACTGTTATTTGACCTGATGTTGCCATAACCTGAAAATTAAAAAAAAAAAAATTATTTGTGTTAAAATTCTACAAACAATTTGATAATAATTATTATTACCTTCGCTGAATTTTGAATTAGATTGATCAGATGTTGCAACAGAAGTTCGGCAGTCTTATCGAATTTGTTGCCCATAGTTTGTGATAGATAAGAGATAGTGATGCATGCCTCCCGAACTACTTGCGAACGAAGATCCTTTAAAGATCCTTGCAAGGCTATTTCCATATTTCTTAAACCTAAGTGGAATTCTTCAAAGTACGACATTCCCGCAATGGCTACAGATCTTATTCTTTTCAACTAAAATGAAAAATATATATGAAGAAACGCTATTTTGGAAAAAATAGATTTTAGAATTATGATCTTAATTATTCATTTTCTTTTCAATACTAAAGTCTTGGAAATACTTCAAGTTCATTCGCTTTCATTATTATTTGCATATCTTTTTTCATTATATTTTCTGTATTTCTATTACACTTTTATAATTCAAATATTTCTGATAACAGAAATAAAAATCAAAATTTAGGAATAATAATTTGCTTTTCTTTAGAAAAATAAAACAATGAGTAGTCATGAGAATGTACTTACAGCCTCGGTCCTTTTATTCCAGTCCTTATTCGTGTCCGAAATTATTTCTTGTATACTTTTTAATTGTTCAATAACTTCCTTTGCTGAAAATATTGTTATCGATGGACAGTCTTCGAAACTTCTTATAAACGATTCTTCATCAACTGCACCAGCTAAAAAAATAATTTTTATGCAAATCACTGAATAGACCAATATTGTTATAACGTAAAAAAAACATAACAAACAAAATTTTGAAAAATTATTTAGGTTATTTTGTTTATTATAGTTTGAATATTCGGTAAAAAATTTAAAATTATAGCATTTTAAATTTTAAGGTATATTATTTAATTCAAGAAAATTAGAATTTTCGTCAATTTTGGAATTTTAAAAAATTCATAACAATTAAAGGGTTGAAGATACGATAATGGACGTAAGGACATTTTTTATTCGAAATATCCTAAAGAATATAAAAAAATTAATTCATTGCGGAAAATGCATTTTTTTGCCTTAATTAATTTTTCGTTGTTTAAACAATAACATCAACAAATATCGAGTGTCATCTTACACTTTTATAATTAGGCAGGCCTTCCGGACATTTAAAAATAAAAAATTACGAATTAAAACTTTTGCAAACGAATGCGCTACTATGCCCTGCACTAGAAGGACACTGATAAACTAATTGACAGTACAGTGTATGCTGCGGTACGTTAGTGATTTTTTGTTTTAATAATAATTATATTTTGAAAAAAGGTGAAAAGATCGACCCTTAGTCATAGAAGTTTGTATACCTGAATATTATTAATTAGGTCAAAACCTACAACATAACATAGCAGATTCCCCCGACCGAAACTATTTGTTAAAAAAAAAAAAAAAATTGCGAGGTTTAATAACAAGCTGGAACAATTTTATGAAATTATTGTTATTTAAAAAGTTTAATGTTAAAAAGCTTTGAGTTATCCACAAATAATGAGAAAATTGCAATTGAGTTAAGATAAGAATATTTTACTTATTTTTTCTTCAAACGTCAATTGTTATTAAAAATAACTAATAAAAATCACAAATTTCACCATCAAAGGAGCTTGTTACTTTAACTAAATAGCAAAGCTTTGTTGTAAAAAAAAAAAACAACTTTAAAGTCATTTAAAGTAATCAAATGTTAAACTTTTCGGACGTTTGAAGAAAAATTTTTTTTTTTAATATACAAGACTGTTAATTTTGAACAATTTATCACGAACGTGTACAAATCAGATAAAAAATAATGCAATAAAGTAAATTTGTAGATAATTTCTAAATAATCCCTGTAATTAAATATTGTCCACAACCATTTAAAATCTAACTATAGCAACTTACTTGAAACCGTGGAAGAAAGTCGATAGGAACCCACTCGGCTGAAAACTTTTCATGCAAAAAAATTAAAGCACAATAATAAACGAAAAAAAGCTAACTAAAATTTTAGAAATTACAAATTAATGCATTTCAAATATAGAACAATGTTAGATATTTAAAACAAAGTAGAATAAACAATGAATTTAATTAAGAGAATACATTTATGGAGAATATTAAAACAAAAGTATGTACACAGTTAAAATTTTCTAATCTACAGTTCATCAAATTTCTAGAGGCTTTCGACGGCTAGACAGAGAAAGCCCTACTGACAGGCATCCCGACGGATTTACGCAATGAAAGTACACTCTGCGCATCAAGTATTTCACTATTTCATTCAGACGTAAATGTCAGATATAAATTTCGCTAAAACATTTCTTTTATTTTCGTTTGTGTTTTTTGCTCATTACAGTTTAATAGAACCTAAGTATGGAGTTTAATAGCAAATTAAGAGGCCGCGTGATTAACAGTCAATCTCGCGAATTAATAGCCAATGTTATAGAGTTTATGAGAAGAGAAGGAAACTTTAATTCACCTTCAATACCATTTAAAAATGTAAATGATCGTGTTGCTGCAGCTGCAGGAGTATCCAAAAACACTGTCGTCCGCATTTCTGGAGAGAAAAAAAGAATCGATAACCGTGAGATATCGGAATTTTCATCACCAAGAAAAACCATTAAAAAACCAAAAACAGTTAATGATATAGATGAAGCTGCACAAGAATCAAATTTTATTTTTTTATTAGATAGCTATTTTTGTTTCTGAGTTGTGTTCATTTACAGGCTCAATTTTTTTCCGTTTCTCCTTTTTAATTTTATATGGGGTTTCAAGTTGTTTTTGACTTATTTCGACGTAAATCACAACAACACACTTTTTTAATAAAGCAAACAAGTGTTAAGAGGTATATGTACGTGCAAACTACAATTACAAAAAATTGATATGAAACCCATGAAACCACCAACAAAAATGTAAAGCTAGCTTCCGTACTAGAACATGGTGTCATTCGTCGAGATAATTTATCGTTTTGTTTAATAGATCAAGAAATGTAAATATTCCCCTGTTATTTTTTATAAAATTATAAGAGAAATACATTTTTTTCTAAATAGTATAGTTTATTATTTTGTAGAAAAACAAAATTTCGAAAATTTTAGTAATGTTTCAGAAACAACCGTTATTAATAATAGGTTCCATTTTCCTTAATAAGGTAGAAATAAAATATAAACTATTTCCACGATTTACAAAGGCCTACAAAAAAATTATAGGTATTTTCCGCTATCCTATAAAATTTATATTTTCTGACTCAATTTCAAAAGGTTGAAGGAATTCCAAAACACCTTTTATTACATATTAATTATTTTCAATTCTACATACTATCTTTAGCTGCTTTTAAAAACGTTCTAAGAAAGTCCAATCAGACCAATTTAATCCCTAAACTATTCCACACTTTTAAAATTTAATTACCTAAAAATATTAAAAACTATTTAAAATAACTTGTTTAGCAGACTGTACAATAGCTATCTTAGTCACACGTAGCGCGTTCTCTGTCTGGGCGTCGAACACCTCTAGAAATTTGATGAACTGTACCTATTTTTGTTAACCATTGAATAAAAATGTTTGTCAAATTATTTTTCGAAGACCACTACACAAAATCACATATTTTCTATGCTGTTTTAGTATATTAACGAGTTGTGTATACTATTTTTTCTATGACCACACACAAAATCCTTAAAAAAAACCGTCTTTTTTAAATGAGAAAGTCAATTAAACCATATCACACATGTACTCGTACTGAAAAGTATTATCACACATGTGTTGAAAAGAATATCAACACATGTGTTGAAAAGTAAAAAAATCCTCCAAAATATTTTTCATTTTGTAACAGTAGAAATGACAAGAACTAATACAATGTTTAAAAAATATTTATAACTAAAGCAGAACAAGAACTAATATAACAATAAGAAACATTTATAACTAAAGCAGAGATACTAACAGAATAGTTTATTAAAAATTTACATCTAAAATAGAGATAACCAATGGAATGGATAAAAAATATTTGTAACTAACTAAACTACAGATAACTAATATAATAATTAGGAAATGTTTGTAACTAAACTGTATGAACTGAATAATTATTAATAATTTTGTTTTACTTTTTTTTCTGGGACGTTATAAAAGTTAAAAGTAAAATTGTTATTATAACATTTACTAAATTACAGTGGATTTTGTAATGTTGCATTATTATTATTCTCAGTGGTTCCCCTAATATATGTGTTTATTGTCTCTTGTGGATCTACATTAATTTGTTGCTGTATTAGATAAAGTACACAAAGTTGCACTGTATCTGGTTTGTATAGTTTCAACATTTTGTTCAGAGTATTGTTCAATGTTTTTACATGCAACTTCTTCGTTGAATGTGCTCATACTGCGAATGGTGTTCATTATTTTATTAGCAGTCATTAATCTATTAGTTGCAAAGTCATATATGTACTGCTCGGCCAAGGTAGATGATTTACATCCCCCGTGGCGTTTTAATGCAGCAAGATCTGCTCCTACATCTACCAAAATTGTTGCAGAAGAACGCCTAAAGGTGGGGCCAGTATATTGTTCTGGATTCGGAAGATTTAAAAACGTTGCCACTACCTTTGGCTCAGTGCCTATTTTGTTTATACCCACTACTTGTTGGGTGCATTTTTTTATTTTTATAATTAAGAAAAAACCTTAGTTGAGTGGTTGGTGGCCTAAGATTGGCATATTTTTTGTGTTGTCTATTTTTATCAAAGCTGCTGTAACCAAATCCTCTATATCGTTTATAGTCAACTGTGTGAGTTCCTGCTTTCGGCTTGCTCCTGATATTCCAAGGATAAGTGCAACCTTAAATAATAAAAAATACACATTGAACAAAATAATAATTAAAGTTGCTCACTTTTGTAAATAAATATAATTCATCTGGAGCTGTTTCTATGAAATTATTTATTTCTTGTTGCGACAGGACTTTTGGCTTTTTTTGGTTTATAGCCATCACTTTTTCTCTTTAAGAATGCCTTTAATTTTAGGTACTTAGGAATATCAACATTGTGTTCAATAGACAGAGTAGTTCTCAACATTGAGTACTGTGTACACAAAGTCGAACTTTGTACTTTTGATGATAATTCATTCATATAGGCCAGTAGAACATCTTCAGAAAACGAACTCTTTATTTGTTTCCTTTGTCTCCATTTAATGAATTTAATGTATTAAAGAATTTTAAAATATGTATAGATTATAAACCATATACAGTACGATTCAAAAGATAGGTAACGAGAAAAATTAGGTTTTTCCCTTAATGCGTTTTTAACTTATCTTCAAAATTCTGTATTTTCACTTTCCCTCAATTTTTCGACAACGGTCCATTTTAGAGAATTCACGTATAGGAGAAGAATTATAGAGAACTAGCTGTTGCCCGCGGCTTTGCTCGCATGTAGCCGTGTTATTAATATAAAAAAATACATGACTTCCTTTTTTATTAATTTTTTTTATTCAATTTTATTCATTTTTATTAATTTTTATTTATTTGTATTCATTTCTATTCATTTTTAATAATTTTTATTAATTTTTATTAATTTTTATTAATTTTTATTAATTTTTATTAATTTTTATTAATTTTTATTAATTTTTATTAATTTTTATTAATTTAATTTTTGTTAATTTTTATTAATTTTTGTTAATTTTTGTATTTTTATTAATTGTTAATAATTTTTATTAATTTTTAATAATTTTTATTAATTTTTTAATAATTTTTATTAATTTTCACCCCCGTTTTCCTTCAAATCCAAAAACCATAAAACACATTATTTTTTATTTTTAGTCAGTAGCTGTAATTTAAATTTTTATGTTTGAAACTTTAAATAACAAAAAAATATATACATACTATTGAACAAATTTTCACCCCCCATTTCCCCCCTTAAAATGTTGAAATGCAAAAAACCCTGAAACACTTCATTATTTATTTATGATGAGAACCTATAATTCCAATTTTCAAGTTTCTACCTTTAAAAAAACCAATATTTCCAAATAAACTTTCATCCCCCCGTTTCCCCCCTTAAAATTTGAAAATCCAAAAACGCTAAAACACGTATCATTATTAATTTGTACTCATAAGCTGCAATTCCAATTTTCATGTTTATAATTTCAAAGAGGACACAAAAATTTATACTCCCATACAAACTTTTACCCCCGTTTGTCCCCCTCAAGATGTACAAAATAAAAACCCTAAAACACATTATTATTAATTTGTACTCAGTAGCTGCAATTCTAATTTTTATGTTTTTAACTTTAAAAAGAACCAAAAACATAGATACTCCCAAATAAATTTTCACCCCCCATTTCCCCCCTAAAATGTGAAAATCCAAAAACCCTGAAACACGTCATTAATAATTTGTAGTCAGTAGCTGCATTCCAATTTTCATGTTTCTAGCTTCATAGAGAACAAAAAAAAAAAAAGATAGTACCATACAAACTTTCACCCCCCGTTTCCCCCCTTAAATTGTAAAAATCCAAAAACCCTGAAACACGTCATTATTTATTTATGCTTAGTAGCTGTAATTTAAATTTTCATGTTTCTAACTTTAAAGAACAAAGAGTTTCATTAAAAGCTTCCTCCCCCCATTTCCCCCCTTTAAAGTTAAAATTTCCAAAAATCCTTTCTTAGCGGATGCTTAAGTTATAAAATAAACCTATGTTCCAAATTTCAGCTTTCTAGGCTCAGTAGTTTTGGCTGTATGCTGATAGGTCAGTCAGTCAGTCAGTTAGGACAAACAATTTTATATATATATAGATGACATCACAAGCAACTTTTATTCAAACAATTTTCCTAAACATTCGAATTTTGCACTTTTTGTGAAATTTTTCGAATACGGAGCATTTTATAAAAATTATATATAGTACAAAAAATATAGAGAATGACAAGCAACTTTTATTTGAAGTATTTTCTTCTCCAAGCGTAAATAAGATATTAAAGAGAATGACCTACAATGTCTTTAGTACCCTCTGGATGTTCCGACTATGCCCAAAATGTAATCAACTCATTAAAGGATTTTAATCCATCCGAGTTTAAGATTTAGTGTTTTCTCTTTGTCTATTTTTAAGTTAACCTGAATTTAGATACAAGTCATCATCGTGAAAATAGTAAAAACAAATTCAATTACCCCCGAATCGTAAAAATTCGTCGAAAACTCGAGAATGAAAAAATAAATAAATAATTATTCAATACTTCACATCTGTGTACAGACAGGAAAGTAAAATTAGAATACATTTAGCAAATGATTAAAAAGGAAATGTGTGATTTGTGTTGGTGATCAGACAGAACAGAACTTGACAAAACAGAACAGGACAAAACAGAACATGACAAAACAGAACTTGGCAAAACAGAACACAGACAAAACAGAACACGGATAAAACAGAACAAAGACAAAACAGAACAAGGACAAAACAGAACACAGACATAACAGAACACAGACATAACAGAACACAGACATAACAGAACACAGACATAACAGAACACAGACATAACAGAACACGGACAAAACAGAACATAGTATATAATAACTAGGTATTTCTTGAAATTCTCTAACAAAAAGTTTCGCCTTCTATCAGTATACATATATTTAAATGCGTTTAATGGGTTAATTCTTAGTACTTAGGGTAAATACTTTAAATACGATAATTAAACAACAATATTATTGGGATTTACGTTCTTATGTTTTGATTAAATTGTGTAGGAATTGTTTGTATAATTCTTACATATATGCTGAAAATTAAAGAATAGTTAAAAATATGAAAAATTCGGAAAAATTTCATGATTAAAAGATACTGTATTTATTTTTTTGACTAATTTTTTTTTTCTAGTTTTTTTTTTAATGTTATAAGAAAAACTAAAAAGGAGTAATGAAACATTTTTGGTACTTAAATAATTATTATTGGAGATTGGCCATTCGGCGTAGAAATTCCAACTTATTTTTAATAGACTTCAAAAAAGGATGAGGTTCTCAATTCATCGCGATATTTTTTTTTATGTATGTTCAGCGATAATTCTTTAACACGGTGTCCGATTTTAATAATTCTTTTTTTATTAGAAAGGGAAATTTCCAACCTTAGCGTGCCATGTATATAGTTGATAGAAAACGTTTGGTGCTTTATCAAAAATTCCATCTTCAAAAATAACGTCTTTTTTAATTATTTAACCAACTCTTCATTCCCTATTGCCAGAATTCTATCAGAATCATCGGCCCCTGTATCATGTAAAATTACATCCATGTAATGTTCTGGTATATTAAATTCGACCGTTGTTGGATTTGGAATATAAGCACCTTGTTTATGTCGAGTGAGGGTTCTCGTAAGAAAAGATGGTTTTGATACTATTTACTGATTAAATATATTGCAACATTACCCTAAATCAATTGTATGATAAATAGTTAACAGTGTTAGATTATTTTTTGTACAAACTTCATTGATTTACTTTTGCTATCAATAAGACTTAATTGTTTTAAAAATCTACAAATAAAGTTTGAATTTCTTACGTGATTTTAACTTCTCTCAGTAGAGCGTCGATATGTTCTGTTTTGTCTGTGTTTTGTTATGTCTGTGGTCTGTTATGTCTGTATTCTGTTTTGTCTGTATTCTGTTTTGTCCGTGTTCTGTTTTGTCTGTGTTCTGTTTTGTCTGTGTTCTGTTTTGTCAAGTTCTGTTTTGTCTGTGTTCTGTTTTGTCAAGTTCTGTTTTGTCAAGTTCTGTTTTGTCATGGAACCATTTGTGTTTAATTCATTGTGGTCATAGAAATATTTCAAATTTTTATTAAATAGGTATTCCAAAAACAAAATAAATCTTTAGAATCAATATCTATTTGCTAATAATCAGCAAAAATAGGAAGCAAATGTAAATTAAACAACTATGGGGCTCTTAAAAAGCAATAATTCTTAATTTAGCTAGTGGTTTTGTACCTACCAGAATTTGCACTGCTAGGAGTAGACGCTACGTTTCTAGCTTTTGTAGCGCTGCCCAGAAATGGCTTTTTCACAGGAACTAAAGGTTTAGCCATCACAGCCCTGTCAGTTTCGTCGCAATTTACTAAAAAAAAAGTTTATTCAATAATTACATGTATTAAGTAACAAATTAATTATTACCCTTGTTCTATTACCCATAACAGTGATACAAAACTTTTAAGTTAATTATATAAATTATATGATATAAAATATATTTTTCTATAATTAATATTCTCAAGTAAATTTTTGTCACAGCTCATTTGCGTTGAAAGTTATTAATTTCCATTCTGCGAGAAACAAATTCGAGAAATAATTTTTAACAGCTACCCCTGTAAACTTTCAAATATCTATATAATAAATTTAACATCCGACTCGCATAATTTGGAAAAAAACTGTCAAATATCAATATCATTTTAATAGTATAAAATGTTATTTTTCCATTCGCTTGAGTTATAACACACCTCAGTTGGGACAATAAATATTTATAAACAATTTTTATTTGAGGGTGACTCATCTGCAGATTAGACTATGGTCGCAACATTGTATGTCTAGCAGATAAGTCACTCTCAAACAAAAATTAGAAGGACCATATTATGAAGTATTCAAGAAAAACTTACAATCTACGTTTCGAGAAGCAGACGCCAAAAGTTCACCTCGAGTTCTGGCTTCATCAAATTTGCTTGAAAGCACTAACCATTTTGCCTGAGGTACAATGTTCCTCCTCTGCAAGTCTGTCCTTAACTTTTCACCAACATGTTTGTATAGATCTACTAAAGTGTTAAATGCTGTATCCCTGACTGTTGCTGTTGGATCAGAAAGTAGATTAACAATGTCTGGAATGAATTTGTTCAGTGTTAGTGATTGCGTTCCATGTCTGCAAAAAAAAACAAAGTTAATAAGAATTCAAGATGCTAAATTGGTGGTTCCAACATTAAGTATTGAGCTAAGGTTCTCACGGGCAAACTTTAGCGTAAAAGAAATTTTGTGAAGCACTGGCATTACTAAGATTAAATCATGTATATAATCTTCACATTGCTATTTTATTTTAAAGATTTAAAACCACACATTACGTTTATAAATGCAAATTTAATATAAAAAATTAAGTGAAGCTGTAATAATATTTGTAGAAATCAAGGTAAACCCCTACTTTTTTTAAATAGTGACTAATTTATTATAATTATAGAAAATTAAAAATAACTTACTCGTTTAATGTATTTACCAGACATCTGAGAACTTCTTCCCGAATTTTCGCATTTTTGTGCGTAAAACCCGGTTGTAGTTTTTCAATTAAGGTTTGTGGCGTCAGGACGTTCCTCTCCAATAATTTCAAAATGAGCAATTGCGATTTCTCCCTGACCGTGTCTTTGGCATCTCCCAGTCTATCTATAACGTTTGGTAATACTGTTTGTATGTAATGCCTAAAATCTGTTCCTAATCGATCTATCAGATATGTCAATACTTCTATGCCGTTGCTAGATACCTGTAACAATAATATAATGTTTATTTAAAAGTTTTAATAAAGGTTGCGAGGGAAATAAACTGTTGCGTAACAGTATGTTGTCAAATAGGTGCACATTAACGTGCATTCATGTTCTTGTAACAGTTAAGTAGTGAGGTCTACAGTCACGTCGTGGATTGGTGAAAAAAAGAAAAAGAAATGAAAGAAAAAAGGAAAGGAAAGGAAAGAAAGAAAGAAAGAAGAGAAAAAAAAAAGGAAAGAAAGAAGAGGAAAAAAAAAAGAAAAAAGAAAGAAAAGAAGAGAAAGAAATTTATTGGTCTATGTATTGTCTAGTCTCTTTGTAATAATCCTAATTATTATTAATTTATATTTAGAAATAAAACACTTTTGTTCCCTTTAGTACCGCACGCTTGTCCCTTCCATGTATGACTGACTTTCTCTACCCCATGAGTCAACTGTTACGTCGGGGGCAAGCGTACCTACATTTATTTATCTACTTAAGATGATTCACATACACTACATCTCTCCTATTTTATAATAATATAAATATATGTTACATATATATTTTCTTTTTTACAACTTACTTATGCCTAAGTATATAGTATAAAAATACAATCAACAATACAATGTAAATAAATTGTATAATAAATCTAACAAATATAAAGATACATAGAAATACCAATACAAATTTTAACAAATAAATAAGTTTTATATTTTTTCAAATAAAATTTTTTTATACAATTTTGTTTCTACCAGAGCCAATTTTTTTTCAGATCTAACCTTTATAGGTAAAAAATAAGTGATTCAGGTAAAATTGAAACGTATATTACATGTTCTTTTAAATGTGTTGTTAATCCAAACGCTGCTCTTATTGTAATAGCTAACAATAAAATAATTCGTATCATTAATTATTAATATTAATATGTATATATTTAAAAATTCCCGCCATTCCGCTGCTGGAAATTACGATTTTGGCGGGAAATTTAAATTTCGCCTTAAAATTATATTTGAATTTACTGCCATATCAAGTTAGTTGAGCGGCCAGTCGCATTTAGCGCCATCTCTTTAACAAGTGAGATGCACTACTACAGGGGATATATTGTGACAATTATCGCCATCTATGTACAATGTATTGAATACTTGCTTTGTTACAAAACCGCTGGCTCAAATGTTGCAGCCTTAATATTGTCTTTAATTTAGAAGAAAATATATTATGCATATTTACAATATAAACAAATATACAAATATAAATTATATGTACGGAGAGACTCATTTTTTACCTTTTTCTTAATAAGATGAATTTTTAATAAAATTTGGTGCTTTGTCTAAAATCAAAAACTAAATTAAATAAAATTTAAAATAAATGCACTCAAGATTAAGTCCTCTTATTTACATTTTGCTAATTGAATACATTCATATAAAGTCCCAAAATACACATTTAAAACGCGTATAAAAAGATTTGTGAAAAAATTGGTTAAGGATGTAATTTTTTTTTAATGTATACTACTTTTTTTTGTAAATAATGTGTGAATTCGACAAAATGGGTTGCCATATCTAAACTGTCAGTTTGCACTGGCAGTATTTTGACAGGTCGTTGAAATGCCTAATTTTAAATCAATAACTTATTAAATATGTAAAAAATAGTTTCTTAAAAAGGTGTTTTTAGTTTGAGGAATAAACAGTATAAAACATTCGCTTTATCGGGATTATTAAACTGATCTGATATACCAGTTTTTATCGGAAAAAACTTTATTACAATTTAGATTTTTTCACACATCTTTTTTATATCTACATACTCTTTACATTAATTTAATATAAAAAAAAATATTTAAAATATCTCTATATTAATGAAATTTCAGATTTAGAGCATCCATGCTTTTTACTTCCAAATCCATTACACTAAATAATAGTAAAATTAAGAAAACATGAAAAATGGATCGACTCACCCGTGTTAAATAAATAAAATAATCTAATAAATCTTTATAAACAGGCAAGTTCTTGTATTTCTTATTCTTCTTTGCGATCCTGAACATTGTATCAAGTTAATAAAAAAAATTACTTAGAAAAACTTTACATAAAACTACATCGTTCAACTAGATCCACCCATAGAAATACTATATAGGTTGACAACAATATTCAGCGATCTGTGACTGAAACGTTTCTTTCAGGAATCCCGCCCATATATTTAAAAAAATTGTTCTATAATAGTACAAGGTTAAAAAGATGGTTTCAAGTATAAGATTAAAATGCTTTGAAGAGATCCTATAATTGATATTTAAATTATAATTAAATAAACGAAACAAGACTGTACTGGTTGTGTCAAATGAATGAACAAAATTTTGCAATAATTAAAATATAATAAAATACCTATAAACAGAAAATAAGAGAAGCCACAGTTAAATGGCCTGAAATATAAAATTTATTTCATTTAAAATAAAGACTTTTTAAATGTATACCTATAAAACTAACAATAGAAAAATAGGAGTGTATGGGCATAGAACCAGAGTATCAAGAAAATTCCCCGACAGAATATTCCCCGAATGGTACATTCCCTGATGGGAAAATTCCCCGACAATACATTTCATCACAAAAAATATTCCCTTGGAAAATGTCAAAATTTATCATATCAAATATCATCAAATTTTAAGATTTTAGATTGTCAAATATTGAAGAATTGAATATATAGAAATAGTACCACAAATTAAATTTTTAGAAACTACTACTACAACATTTTTTTTTTTTTATAACAATTAATTTGATTTGGCAATTATATTTATAATGCAAATTGAAGGTGTTTTATAAATACCTAAATAAAGTCGAGAGGCTGATCCGACGTAGGATATAAATGTACTTTACACATTAAGGTCTTTTATAAATACTTAACTAAAATTATATAAAATTATTCGAATAGGACATTAATGGTCATTGTTAAAAGGCTATTAATATAGCAAAATTGTTGACTGTACCTCACAAATTCTTCGAATGGGACATTAATGGTCATTGCTAAAAGGATAATAATCGATCAAATCTATTGACCGTACCCGTTTATAATAATTTAATTTTAATTAACAAGGTTTTTTATAAACACTTAAGTAAATGTAGGTTGTTAAAATTGTTGACTGTTTAAATTTTAAACGGTATAAAAGGACGCACATTTATTTAATTTTTTTATTTCTAAAAACTTGTGTAAACTGTTAACATTGTGAAATGGCTGCTGAATTTGATCTTAGTGAAAAAATTAAGAAAAAGTTATTGTTTGATGGATATTTATATCAAAAAGACAAAGGAGAGAAAAAATTTGTGGAAATGTGACTATTATGGTAAAATAAAGTGTAACGCTCGAGTTACAACACTTGGAAATACATGGAGAGTGTATGCACTCTGCCGATGTCGGAGAAGTAGAAAAACCAAATTTTATAATAGGGTACGTGAAAACGCAAGAACTATCCAAGACGCACCACATTGTGTTATTTCTACTGTAGCCACTTTACCGAAAGTTTCTAGCATAAAACGGACAATAAATAACGTTCGTAGAAAGGCAGAAGCTGCTCCAGCTTTGCCACTTCATTGACGAGATATCGCATTTCCTGCAGAATACACAATGACCCAAAATGGAGAATCCTTTTTGCTTTACGATTCTGGACCAAATGACAGAATACTGATTTTTAGTACAAGAAAAAAAAATCACTTTTAGCTCAAAGCAAACATTGGTACGCTGATGGAACATTTAAAATAGTACCACACTTGTTTTATGAACCGTTTACGCTACATGGCTTAAAAGAATATATTTCAGTTTTATTGGTGTATGTGCTGTTACCAGATAAAACAAAAAATTGCAAAAGTTAAAAGAATTTATGCCTGGTGTGTCACCAAATACCATCATTACAGATTTTGAAACTGGCATAATAAATGTTTTTACCGAAGAATTTCCAGTTTCAAAACATCGTGGATGCTTTTTCCATTTTCACCAATGCATCTTTAGAAAGATCCAAGCAGAAGGACTAAAAAACCAGTACGAGGAGAATATGCTACCCGAGAATGCCCAGTCAATTGTTGACTACTTCGAGGACACCCGTATTAGACATCCGCAAAGAGGCCAAAGTCGTCACGCACCAAAATTTCCCCTTGATATGTGGAATTGCTATCAGACTGTGATAGAAGGACTGCCAAAAACACTCAAATAGTAACTCAATTGAATATTACAGACTTGGTAGGAGTGCGAAAACAATTTCAATTACTCGGGATTTACGAGTGGATATGCAGCAATCCAACATTTTTTTTGACACCACCCCTACTTATTTTATTCTGAATATGCCAGTTGGTTGTTAGGAAACAATATACACTCTTATAGAAGGGACACAATTCATAAATCACTCTGTACATTATTAAATAAAAAGGAGGCATCATGGTTATTTGACATTCTCCTATATACGAAGTAGATATTTTCCCCGTGACACTTTGAAATTATTATTAGGGTCATCAACAGCAAGCACAACAGAAACATTCGTTATAACTTTACCTAACTCTCCCTAAAGAAAGATAAAAACAATTTTCTTGTTTTCGTCGAATAATATTTATTGAAATATTTACTTATGCGATCGGACGTGCGGTAGTGGTCTCCTGCCAACTTTTATTAAAATCGATAGTGTTCCTTTAGTTGATTGGTATTCCTGTTTCCATTATGGAAGGTCCCCGTTTATTTTTTAAATATTATTCAATAGAAATAAAAATGTTATTATAATCTCGCAAAGGTTAAATAATATAATTTTTCTTTTAAGCTATTGCATAGCTTTTATCGCGGGCTTTGAGCGCGGCGACCGAATCAAGAAAAAAAAAAAACGAAACCGTAACGAAAAAAAACCTAACACCTCCCGCTCCGACCGGCACAGCGGTGCGGCGTTAAACAATATTAACTTTTCATTTATTCAATAAAAAGAAAATCGAAAAGTCGAAATTTGAAAAACCGAAAAATCAAAAACCGAATGATCGAATAATCGAAAAAGAAATTCCGTAACGAAAAT